GGGGGGGGGGGGGGGACACACCCAATGTTTGACAGCAGCAATTTTGTGCAAGTGGTTTAGTCCTACTTTACTATGCTGTCAAGACTTTCCACATAGCAGAAAATGCATGTGTATATACTGGTTAATATATACACATGCATTTTCCATTTTGTGCATTTGTGCACTCATTTCTCCCATTTTTTGTAGCTTTGTATTCATTTAATCATCATCACCATCATCTTAGAACTGCAGAGCTGGAAGGGACCCTAGGGATCATTGAGTCTGTTTCTCTATGTATGGCTTTTAAATGCGATCTGTATACATTTCCTTTATTGTTTATCTGCTTGAAGATAAGATTGTACAATTTATGTATACACTGGGAGGAAAGCATGCAAAATGCATATGATGGGAAGAATGTGTAAAAAGGTTCATGTTAATAGCCAGGTGAACTTTTTACTATTTTTTTAAAAAAATTGTGTTTAAAAATAATAAATTGATAGAGAAAAAAGACAGAACCAATGTGGGTTTCAGAAATTCCAAAACTGTAGAAAGTGAAACAGACAGCTTTGCCCATGCCTAGTAGTATCTATGTCTCTAACACCTGACAGAGTTTCCTGAGGAGGGTTGTAAACTTTTACAGTTAAAGTCTTCATCCTGTTTGTGGAGGGTTTTGCTATAATTATGAATGAATTTTGATTGTTGCATGGCATTGCTTCACTAGACACAGCCCACCAAAATTCATTGATGCTGAGGAATTAAATATGTGTCTAGCAATAGATCTGTAGCATATTCTAAGCTTCTAGAAGACAATGGGGCACAATTTATCCTTTTATATAGATAAAAAAAAGAAGATAAAGAAGCCAGCAACTAAATTTTCTCCTTTTTTTGACCTCATGTGTATGTCTGCAAGTTTCCTAAAGAAACAGCTTGGAGGGATAGTTTAAGCCTCTTACTCAGATGGATAATATTACTTCAATGTTGAAAAAGGGGAAAATGCTATATGCCGTATAAAATTGCTTTGTATGTCATTTAAATGCACTTATCTAAAGAGAGTTCTGACTTTTTTGGTGGATTGGGCTTCAACTTATGCCTTTAACTTGTGTTCACAATGGAACACTTATGTGTTTCCCATTAAAGAAATCAGTTACCACTGATGTAACTTTCCAATGAAAATTAGTAATAATTTGCCCAAGCTGCCTCTGATCTCATAGGCATTTTGTCTTTTATGTTATTGCTTTGATTTATAAACATTTTCCCCTCAGATCTCAGCTGTAATTATGCAATTTGACCAGTCTGCATCTGTAAATGATAACATGGATTAACAGAAGTTTAAAAGATATCATTCCTAACTTGCAGCTGGAGGAGGGTGACATTATTTATATTTCATTTGTATGCAGATGCCTGGGATGTGTTTGTAAAGCTATCAGTACGGAGTATAAAAAGCAAGAAAACAAACAAACCTTGTGGGATATTAATGATCCCATTAAAAGAAGACCACAGTTAGTTATTATAATCATTCTTCCTTTCTGAGACCCAAACAGATAGCAGCGGATGCGGACCTCGCTTGTGAACAAGCTCATTACTATCTTAGTATCAAAGCACAAAGCAGATGGAATGACCTAGCCATGGTAAGCGTCATGCAGTCTTTAAACAAATACGCTTGTCTAGAAACGATTTGAGAGCTTCACACAATGTTTATCTTTGATGGTATAATTCCTTTTTTTTTCAAACCAAGCACTAAGCTACAATAAATAAATACCTCATTAATGATCAAAACATGTAACAGGTTCTTAAATAAAGTACTGCAGTGTCTGATTTGAAGCTGCTGAGCCTTTTAACCATTGAAATGCAATAGTAAAGCTCCCACCACCACCTATAGATATATAGGTACATGTGTTTTCGGTGTTGCTGTTTTGTAGCAGCGAGGCTATAGGAAGAGCCGGGGAACGTTATTTTTGAACTGCCATTCTCAGAATACTCTAGTCAGCTGTTTATGTTTATGCCATGAAACACCAACAAACTGCAGCTTTGATAGGCGGTGGTAATGATATAAACTGCAGGCACTCTACTTTGAAATGCTAGTGGGTAATTCTACTCCACCTCTGCATTGGGTGCTATAATTGGACAGTACAGTACTTAAAGGAGTGATTTGGCAGAATGACTTGGTCCCAGCAGAGGATTTTTAGAAGGAAGAGACGCAGAGTGGCTAGGTTGATTGGGGTGGACAGTTTGGGTTCACATGTGCCTTTAATGAGCTACAATAGCACAATAGTCATGTAGTCTGTTGCAGAAAAAGCAACATTGTCAATCAATAAATATGTTAATGTTCAAGTAAATGTTAGTCTTTAAGGCATCACAAGGAGGAGGAGCCAGGCACAGCCAGGGAAAGCCTTGTAGCGCAGTGGTTAAATTGCTGCAGCCAAAACCTCACGATCCGCGGTTCAATCCTAGGTAGCCGGCTCAAGGTTGACTCAGCCTTCCATCCTTCCGAGGTCAGTAAAATGAGTACCCAGCTCACTATGCAGGCAATATGTAGCCTGCATAATTAACCTGTAAACCACCCAAAGAGTGCTTTAAGTGTTATGGGGTGGCATGTAAGCAGCACACTTTGCTTTTCTGTGTTTACTTCTCTTTTTACTTTTGTTTTATATTTTAATATAACATCAACAAGAATTGTAATGGTGCCTAAAAGTCTAACAAGTTTACAGAAGCTTATGCCAAATAGAACATGTTAATCCACTAGATTTGGGGTGGGGGTAATTTTAAGTATACTGTATACAGCAATTATTTCATATATCATACCAACTACTAGTGTGATTCTAATTCAAAGACATACCAGTTGTAGGGAGTTAGACATAAGCAAACATTTCTTATATTGAGAGAAAAACCCCTTGTGGTGACGGAAATGCCTTTGTAACAGCAGGGCCCTCTCTTGCTGGCTTATATAAAAAAATCTCCCTATAGAACCTTTCTGCCAGATAAGATCTGCTGACAGAAGAACTAGAAAAGGGGAGAAGAAGGGCAGAATGGAGCAGAAGCTCATTTTGGCAAGATGCAAACCTCTTCTAGCCCAGGGACATAGCCACAAAGCAGGGACCACATTAGGCCGAGGTGAAGGTAACTCCTTATGAATTTCCACCACCTGTAGTCTGGAAGGGGTTGGGTTCAGCACATTTTCAGCTGGTCTAGTGCTGACTCAGCTGGCTCTTGGCCATCTAAGATTGCACTCTTAAGAATTATGTAGTGGCATAGTCTTGTATCTCAGTATTCAATCTGAAAGTACGTAGTTGCCTCAAAGCTCAAGTGGTGCCTTTAATATCTCAAACTTGTACAACACATGAAGCGTGTGATGTCAAATTTGCAAAATAGCACCTACAAGCCATATTACAACACCTGCACATGCAGGCCAAGTCACTCCTCCTTGTTTCCTTCACAGATGCTTGCCACAAGCATGTATCCCTCAATGTTCTCCTCAGTTACCAAGAAGACAAATAAGAATCTCAGACATGTTGCCACTTTTTATTTATAGTTCCTGTAGTTCACTGAGATAATAAAGTATTGGATTTTCATTAACAAATATACTAGCACTTGCTATTAAAGAAATCTTGTATTTTAGCATTTCCATGAATATGATAGTGATGGCAACACATGAAGCGTGTGATGTCAAATTTGTGAAATAGCACTTACAAGCCATATTACAACACCTGCACGTGCAGGCCAAGTCACTCCTCCTTGTTCCTTTCACAGATGTTTGCCACAAGCATGTATCCCTCAATGTTCTCCTCAGTTACTGAGAAGACAAATAAGAATCTCAGTCTCCACATCGTCAGACATGTTACCACTTTTTATTTATAGTTCCTGTAGTTCACTGAGATAATAAAGTATTGGGTTTTTGTTAACAATTATACTAGCACTTGCTATTAAAGACATCTTGTATTTTAGCATTTCCATGAATATGATAGTGATGGAAATGGCCTAGTTCTGAAGAAGGATCTGAAAGATGTCCTATATAGATGCGGCATCCCCATGAACCCCAAAGAATTTGAAAAGCTCTGGGCACGGTAAGGTTGTTCTAACTGTATCTGTTTTTTCTTTCCTTTCACTGTGGATTTTAATGTTGGATATTAAAAGGAGAATTCCATCATTATGATTTCTGATGGCTTATTTCAGATAAACAAGCCCATTTCGCAAGAAGAAATATAATATTAAAATAGTAATCGCTAAAATAATAATAAAAATACATTAACAACAATGATAAAACACATCAGTTCCTTCCCCCCCCCCAAAAAAAAACCCTCTTAGACAGCCAGTCACTAAGAAAAAGCCTGCTTGAAGAGAAAAGTTTTGCCTCCTTGTGGAAAGACTGTAAAGATGGGGCCAGCCTGGCCTCTTGCGGGAGGGAGTCTGGGAGCAGCAACAGAGAAAGCTGTCTTCTGTGTACCCAACAAATGCAGCTGTGAGCGTGGCGAGTCCAAGAGGAAGGACTCCTGAGGATCTTAAAACCTGGGAATCACTAAGAAAAAGCCTGCTTGAAGAGAAAAGTTTTGCCTCCTTGTGGAAAGACTGTAAAGATGGGGCCAGCCTGGCCTCTTGCGGGAGGGAGTCTGGGAGCAGCAACAGAGAAAGCTGTCTTCTGTGTACCCAACAAATGCAGCTGTGAGCGTGGCGAGTCCAAGAGGAAGGACTCCTGAGGATCTTAAAACCTGGGAACCTCCCATAGAAAGCTGTCTTCTGTGTACCCAACAAATGGAGCTGTGAAGGTGGCGGGACCAAGAGGAAGGCCACTCCTGAGGATCTTACAACCTGGGATCCTCCCATAAAGGGAGACACAGTCCTTAAGATAGATTGGACCCAAGCTATTTTAGCCATTTATAGATCAAAACCAGCACTACGCATTGTGCCCAGAAATGGATCAGCAGCCTGCGAAGCTACTGTAACAGGAGAGTTGTGTCATTCCTGACTACTTTATTTCTTATTTATCTTGTTAGCCTGCCTTTTTTTCCAGAAAGCTTGGGGCAGCATAAATAGTTATTTTCCTTCCCATATTATCCCTACAACAATACTGAGAGATGGTTCAGGCTATGGTGGGTCATGACCCAAGGTTACCCATTGCTTTTTACACTTCTGTGCCTCTCCCATAGTCCAGCTCTCTTAACCTTTATACAGTGGTGCCTCGACTTACGACCATCCAGACATACGAACATTTCAAGTTGCGACCAGCTCCGGCTGCAAAATTTTGCTTCAAGTTGTGGCTGGAGCTTCGAGTTGCAATCAAAAGAGGCAGGGAAAAAGGCGGGGAATTCAAATTAAAGGGCTAATTCTACTCCACCTCTGCATTGGGTGCTATAATTGTACTTAAAGGAGTGATTTGGGAGAATGACTTGGTCCCAGCAGATGATTTTTAGAAGGAAGAAAAGCCTGGTGTTGCTTTCTGATCATGAGTAAGTACATTTACTGTGTTTTGCATTATGGGTTTGGGTTTGGGGGGTTATGTTTCTGTGCTGTGTGGGGGTGTTTTTGTGACTGCGGCTACAACAGCACAATAGTCATGTACTCTGTGGCAGAAAAAGCAACATTGTCAATGTTGGCGAAGAGCTTCTTTGTAGCTCTTTCGCCCCAACGGTTAGAGTGTGTGCATCGGAGGAGGCTTCAGACTGCTTGGTGCTGCTTTCTGCTCATGAGCAAGCACATTTACTGTGTTTTGATTTATGGGTTTGGGTTTGGGGGGTTATGTTTCTGTGCTCTGGGGGGGTGTTTTTGTGTGTTTTTGTGACTGCAGTGTGTGTGTGTGTGTGTATGTGTGTGTGTGTTTGTTTTCCTTTGTTTTTCAGCCCCATCACATTCCAATAGGGCTGAGTGTGGTGTGTGTGGTTTTTGTGTGTGTTTTTTCCCCAGCCCCATCGTGTTCCAATGGGGTTGACTGTGGTGTGTGTGTGGTTTTTTTGTTTTGCTTTTCAGCCCCATCGCGTTCCAATGCGGCTGTCTCTGTGTGCGTGGGTGTTTTTTTTGGCTGTGAGTTTGTATTTTGTGATTTTTCCCCCTGCTGGAATGGATTAATCCCATTGCAATGCATTCCTATGGGAAGTGGTGCTTCGACTTACAACCATTTCAAGTTACGTCCATCTTCTGGAACGGATTATGGTCGTATGTCGAGGCACCACTGTACTGTTTCAGTTTCTTAATATTCCACTGAATTATGGTGAGTGGTACCTGAAGCATCTGTAAGCATATTGCCATAAGAAACATAGTACAAATGTGTAAACACTGTTAGAGTATCTTTCCTTGCTTCTAATTCGCAGTTAATGTCTTCTCTAAAAAACAGTGTTACAAGTGCTTGTATTTACAGAAAAGGGGAAAAAATTCCCCCTCAGTCTTAGTGTGTCAGGCACTTTCAGCTGTTTCTTAAGGCAGATTAAAATATTTTGTTAAAAAAAAAACCTCTGGAACGGATTATGGTCGTATGTCGAGGCACCACTGTACTGTTTCAGTTTCTTAACATTCCACTGAATTATGGTGAGTGGTACCTGAAGTATCTGTAAGCATATTGCAATAAGAAACATAGAACAAATATGTAAACACTGTTAGAGTATCTTTCCTCGCTTCTAATTCCCAGTTTCTGTCTTCTCTAAAAAACAATGTTTCAAGTGCTTGTATTTACAGAAAAGGGGAAAAAATTCCCCCTCAGTCTTAGTGTGTCAGGCACTTTTAGCTGTTTCTTGAGGCAGACTAAAATATTTTGTTTTTTTAAAAAACTGGATTTCTTACCAAAAATTCTACTGTTCTTTTGTAAGAAGCCGTTTTCACTATGTCTTGAATGTTCAATTTCCATAAAGAAAGAAATAAAAGCCATCTGTGCTAAGTCTACACAATGGTGTACTTACAGATTTAACACTTACACATTTATTATATGTATGAATAGCTATTTTCCTGGTCATCTTTAGTTACTGGGCATTAACTCCAGAGAAGAAGACAGAGAAGTTTGTAATAGATGGATATCTTCCTCCCTGTGTAAGCAACATAAGAGTTCACCCAATGCTTAGAAAAGTTACTTTTTCAGACTACAATTCCCAGAGCACCCAGCTGGCATGATTTCTGCAGTGTAGAACAGTAACATTTCAAAGCTCTAGACTGTGGTAATGTCTACAGCATGCTAGCATAGATGAGCATTACCCCAGTAAACTAATCTACAAGGCCATTGCAATTAGAGTAGAAGTCACAACAAACAGAACTTCCCTGCTGGGGTCTGGCACTTTGGCCAATGGTTTCCAACCATCAGGACTTCCATGGTCTTCTTGCCACTCAATCTTCTATATGTTTTGTGTCAGTCTTTCTTTTCTAACTCAGTATCCCTATGGCCCTTTCTTTCTTCAAGATCCTGCTTTTCAGAGAACTAGCTACACATAACATTCTTCATGAATATAAACCAATAAAATGGAAACCTTTCTCCGGTTCAGAGCATAAAAGTCAGGGATGAGATACAGAGCACTTTGGGAAGAAACTTTATTTCTCTTTGAGCCCCAGAGAAGCCCTAGAATATCATTTAGAATCTAAATAAAACATAAAATCTCTGGTAAAAATACCACTCTTAAAAAGCTCAAAGATGCTTTAAAAACACATAATTCCACTGATTTCTTCTCAGCTATAGGACAGCCCTGTGAATGCTCTTCCTATAGCTATTTACATGAACTCTGAAATATTTCAGAAGATACTCAACTAAAAAACATGGAAGCAATTTATATTATAAGTATAAAAAATGACAAGACACTATAAGGCTGTTCCTCACTTCATGCATATTGCAAGCTAAAATCTGACAGATTTTAGCAGTTCTCATTTTTGAAAGTCAGAGATGGGCAGAGGTTTTTGAAAAATTTCTCTCATAAATTATATCTGGAATATAAAACTATGTTGTGAATGTCATTTGCCTACCCAGCCCGGAATATAGAGTAGAGACACAGTGGTTGGATAAAACTAGGGCCACAACTTTATTAAACTATTTAAACTTTTAATTCCCCTTTCACAAGGGGGGCTACCATAGTGCAAATTCATCTGACTCCAGTGTACCACTTTAACTGGATCAGGCCACCAAAGGTGAGTTCCTATTGTCGAAGCATGCTTACCTCTGTCCAGCACATCTTAAGCTATCCAAAAACCAGGAATTCCCCCCACTGCTTCAGTCACCGAGCCTCGAGACCTTAGGGGCACTGCTGCCTGGGAGATTCCCTTAACTCATCTCCCTTTCCTATAACCCCTTTCTCAACAATCATGGAGATGGGTTAATTGCCACCTTCCTCAGGTGTCCCAATGGAACTCACCCATACTCCTTACTTTTGCACTACCCACCATGGCATAGGGGCTATTTATATACCCCATGCCTGCCATCCAAGCTGAAAATTTCAGCCCAAAGGCCCCCTTGCAAATCACATAGAAAAATATCCAGGCCTGCATCAGACAAATACACATCATCATCCCTGCATAATTCAGGCCGTCTCACCCATGTGTCTGGGTATAACACCACTGACCCCAGGCCAGCCTTCACGGCTTTTCCAACCTCCCAGTTGACTCCATGCCTAGCGTGGTTAATACTTCTGGGGTCACACTCAGCCCTTCATACCAATCTTCATATTATGTCTGACCAGATAATACTTACTCCCAGGAACCTAGCCTTACCTGCCCGGAAATCATCAATCACTTGTAGAATAAGAAACTTGCCCTTCCACTGAGTCATGTCGTTACCACCCAAGTGAATGCACTTCTGCATTACTCTGGGATGCCAAATTCAGGAAACCATTCCAAATCATGCCCATTCACCCCACCCACTCAAGTGTAGCCTAGGCTCCTAGACCCAAATTACAACCCCAACTGGTCTGGGAAGCATGCTTGGATGCCCAAAATATATAACTGTGGCCACAAACAATAACTTGCAAATGTCTCCTTGGCAACTCAGAATCTGCAAGATAAAAAGAAACAGTGCCAGAACCTACTGTGGCAATGAACAAACATAAGCTTGAAACCTACGGGATGACCACCTTCCCACCTTCTTTATTTGCTCATCACCATATCC